GGTGCGGAGGCCACCGACCGCCAGCGACGGGCCAGGAGGCTCGGTCCGTCCCTCCCCCAGGGAAGCACCGGCGCCCTCGCCCGCCCTGCCCCTCCCTGCCCCTCCCTGCGAGGTCACCTGGGCTCCGTTTTGGGCCTCAAAGGTTCGGTTACCTAACAGAGGTGGGTCCCAGGGAAGGCAGGACTGGGAGCGCAAGTCTTAGAGAGGATTAGGCACGGTGGGTCCTAAGTTGGGGAGCACCCCGAACGCATTTCCCCATGCTCGCTGACCCCTGCGCCCCGGCTCTGCATGAATCCCTGGGAGGCGTGCAAAGCTTCCGGGGAGGCCAGGAGGGATCTAGAACCAACCCCGGAGGCTCCCAGGGGATCCTCAGGGCCACCTTGGAGGTGAGCAGGGCAGGGCCCGCAGGCTCACAGACGGAAGCGACTGGCCCAAAGCACTCCCGTAGAGTATGCCAGTCAGAGCAGGGGCCCAGGCTCTGTCTGTCAGTAGAGTCTGAAGGCTCAGTCTTTCCCACTCTTGACAGGAGCACGAGTGGGTTCTGGGAAATCCAGACTGGGTGGCAGGAGGAACCTGGATCTCAGGCAGGTGGGACAGGGCTCGGGAATTGATGCTTATGGAGCACCTACTCTGTACCGGCACCTGACACATGTTGGCTCATTTTACCCTCCCAACACCCTGGGGGCAGGGGTGTGGAAAGGGGCATCATTTTACAGCTGAGGAAACTGAGGTTCAGAGAGGCTAAGGAGTGTGTGGCCAGGATTCGAACCCAGGTCTGAGGCCATCGCCCATAGTGTCTCCCCTCAGCTTCCCCCCCATTGAGCAGAGCAAACCTGCCGCTGAAGATCTCTTTATTTCCATCTTGGTCTCTAATGCAAGCTTACCCCCAGGGCTCCAGGCCCCAAACTCAGCAGCAGACAGTTTATAAATAAATAAGTTACAAAAGCGGGTGGGGGAGTGGCCCAGACAGCCCTCCCAGGGGCTGGGCGCTCGGTGCTCGGTGCTCGGTGCTCGGTGCTCAGTGCTCTGTGAGTGAGAGCCGCAGGATCCGCTGGAAGTCCTCCTCCTCCTGCTGCCCTTGTCGCTCCCGCTCCTCCTGTTCCCGTGAGGACAACTCCAGGGCCAGGCGAAGCTGCTCCTCAAAGCTTGGGGGGGCCGGGGCCGGGGGTGACCTATGAGGGGATCCCGGGCCCCTGGGCTCTGTGGACATCCGCAGGCTTTCCTGGAGGGCCCTTCCAGGGAAGGCGGGAGAGAGAGAGCAGACAGGTGAGCACCAAGGCGGGGGGAGGAGGCCAAGGGCTGGGACATGGCTTTGAAGGACAAGGACAGGGTAGCTGGGGCCTGGGAGGCCAGAAAAGACAAGGTGGGGCCCTGTCTTCCCATCCCACATAACGCCTTTGGCGGTGCGCAGTGTTGCTGATGGAAGGTGACCGTGAAAAGGGCATGGGGTCCTGGGACCAGCACCTCCCTGTTACCCAGTCCCCCAGCCAAGGCCCTCCTGGCTGGCAGGTCCCTGAGGTAGGGCAGGGCTGAGACATGGGTCTAGTAGCACCCAGAGGACCTCACCGCTCCAGCTGAAGCTGCTCCTCGTATGCTGTGGCCTGGGGAGGAGGGTGGGTGCCAGGCCGGGTGTTGGTCAGGGCTTCCCAGACAGTCACCTGCAGCAGCCAGAGCCCAGAGCTGTCACCCCTGCCACCCCTGCCCATACCCGGGGCCCAGCCCTGCCCACACCCCACCTGCTCTGCCTCTGTGCCCGCCTCGAGCAGGCTCTGCTGGATGGCGAACTGCAGCAGGTCATCGTCCTCGTCGCGCAGGGGCTCGCTGCGCTCTGCGCCCAGCACGCTGTACCCCTCGGGCACCTCGAACACGGCGGGGTCCACCTCGCACGGGAAAGGGCTCCCTGGGGCGGCAGAGGGGCCATGCTCAGGCCCCAGGGCTCAGACACCAGCTAGTGTAGCCCCTCCCTCCACACTAGTACCTGAGGCTGCGACAGCAGGGCCAGGGGCCGGCACCCACACCGAGCTCAGGGGCTCATCACAGCCACACAGGTTGCTGAAGGTGATGCGGGCGTTGAGCACATGGAAAAGGGGAATCTCTGTGAGGAGACAGCCAAGCCTGAGCCACTGTGGCCATAGACCCACCGGTGCCCGGCCCCTGCAGCACACCCACCCCACTCCCTGGAGTGCCTGAGGCCGCCCTGCTCCCCCACCACCCTCTCACCAATCTTGACTGGGAAGCCAGGTGGGAGGCGAAGGGTGATGAAGTCACGCAGCTTGGCAAAGTGAGCGTTGCTGATGGCCATCAGGTCAATGATGGGCGTCACCTGGTCACCCAGGGAAAGCGGGTGCTCCTCGCTCAGCCACAGTGTTGCCTTGAATCTGCCCAGCCAACCGCAGGACATGGGTCAAGGAACCTCTAGTGGCCCCTCTGCTAAAGCGCACCCGCTCCAGACACTTGCCCTTTTTTTGCCCTCTGCCTGGCCTGGGGTGCCTTCTTCTCTGCTCAGCTGTCCCTGCCTGCTTCCCCAGAGCTTGTGACCTATGGCTGGAGCTGCCCCCAGACCCTGGGCCCAAGCTAGAGCCTATGGTAGCTTGTGCCAGCTCCGCTGGTCTAGATTAGGGCAAGGCTGGGCTGCTGGCTTCAGTCTGGGCCTTGTCCGCAGCCCTGACCTCCTCAGCCCACAGCTGGCCAGCCCCTCATACTCTTCAGTCCAGCACAGCCCACAGGTCAGGACTGCCAGGGTTCGAATGCACTGGGTGACCAAAAGAGGTGCCTGGGATGGTGCTGGGCCCATCATAAGCTCTGTCACGGCTCATCAGACCTTCCTGGTGCCCTTGTGAACAGGTGGTCAGGTGTGACTTCTCGTTTACTGAGGAGACCAGACCCTCGGAGGGGAAGATAGTTCCTTGGGCCACAGAGCCAAGAGGTGGCAGAGCTGTGGGCCCTCCCCACTCTGCTCCAAGCTGGCCACCAGCAAGTGCTTATTAAATTTAATAGAAAACCATACATGGGTGGTGTTGCTCATTCATTCGTTCATTCCCCAAAGAAGAGTGACCAGTCCTCTGGGCCAAGCCCCGAGCTGGGTGCTGAGGACCAAGGATAGGACAGGCCTGGCTCCTGTCCCTAAGGAGTGGAGTCTAGAGGGAAGTCAGCTGAGTGAGTGGGTCCCCTACTCTGGTGGGCCCATGTGTGACAAGAGTCTGTTAGAGCTCAAGGGAACCAGGTAGGGTCCCTGTTGTTGAGAGAAGTTCCCAATTAGCCCCCAGACCTCACCTCTGTACTTTGCTGGACATCTCGATGGGGCGGCCAATGTTCCGCGACTCAAGGCTGAAGTTGGGGTCAAAGTATTCATCGGGGGAAATGGCTGTAGGGTTGGTGGGGCTGGCTGCCTGCTGCACAGGAACCTGGATGGGCCCCAGGACCCTGCTTAGTGCTCAGGACAGCACCTGCCTGGCCCTGCCCAGCCGTCCCCAGTGCCTGCCCCAGCCCCGGCTCACCCCATTGTGGGAGGAGTGCTGCTGGGCCATCCCGAGGAAGGACTGGAATGGAGTCTTCCCCCCTAAGGAGAAGGGTGAGAGCCCATGAAGGGACTTTGGGCCCCTGTCCCCAGACTGCCCCCACCCACCATCCATCCTGGGAGCCTCCTGTCAAGCAGGAGACTGAGCAGATGTGAATGGGGTGATCCCCCAGCTTTTCCCAGATACTCTGGCACCCCAGACTAGGGTGACCCCCACCGCATGGTGTGACTGGGCAGCAGCAGGCGCACCTGGGTTTACCTTTGCTCCTCGACTTGTCCTGATCAGAGAGGTGCTCCGTGCGTGTGCGTGTCACCAGCTCCACATTGGTGGCACTGTACACCTGGGGAGCAGGGGGGAAACAGGGAGAGCTGGGGGCTCAGAGCCTGTTCCCCACATTCAGCATCACCAGCACAGGACCCAAGTCCTCCCGTCCCCAGGAACAGATGAAATCTTGCTCCCCAAAGTGGAGAAGATGGCAGGGTCTAAAGCCCGGGAAGTCACTAATAAGGGGAAATGGTCCTGGTTTCGTCTAATTT